CTCGTGGAGCTCTTTTAGATATTTGCTCTTTTAGGAAAAAAAGGAAACACTCTTTTAGAGAGAGTGCTGAAGCGCCCAGGGGCGGTCGCGGCGAGACCGCAGAATGGCAGCTGCAGCACGCCGAAGATGAGCAGCACTGAATGGCAACCCCCGCTGATGCGCCGTAACACCAACGCCAGGCTGTTTCTTTACAGACACTCGTGGAGATTCGTCCTAGCAGAAGGCTCGGCTCTGAAGCGAAAAGCTGATGTGCGTTTGCACGCGCTCTCCTTTTATACCCGCGCTGCGGGGCGGGGTGCGCGTGGCGAAACACGCACGCCAACTGTCATTGGCTTGTTTAGTTAACACTCGAAGGTGATTGGGCTCTCGGGCGAGATCCCAATTCGTCAGTCACAACTGACGTAACGTCGAACGTGACTGACTGAAAGGGAACAGGTAATACTGTATGTGACCGAGGTAACAAAGCAATCAATGCTTATGTAACACTCACGTTATGTATTTCTCAGATTTGCTGTACTTCTTTGCGAGGTATTTGACCGATGCTTTGCTGGGGATCTTGACGAAAGACAGCTCTTTACTGTAGCGCGTGATGTTGCACGGAGTCTCGCATGAGCAGTAATCGCTGTCTCTCTCCACCAGGAAATCTGTGTAATAAGATAAATTATAGCACTGCAAACATTGAAATCATGGCTCATCGGAAAGATAAACTGTCATTCATGATAAAAGTTAACTTACCTAGTGCTGGATGTGCACATTCTTTATATAGCCCAGGAGTGCAGTACTGCGCATCACCTGCAGGGGCAGTAAATGTCTAAGTATCATTATTGGGATAAAAATCAATTCTGTCATCATTTTCTCCCGCATGTTGTTCCAAATCTCCTGTTGTATATATTTTGTGTAAATGTTTTGACTTAATTGATGTTTCCAATACAAAGCTGCTGTGAGGCTTCAGAAGACATGGTGTAGTTCATGCCTCTCTATGTACTTTTATTATGTTTTTATATACTTTTTGGAGCTTGCCAGCACACCAGAAATTCGCTTTCATTATATGGAGAAGAAAACATTGTATAAAACAAACTACACAAAAGAAAAACGGTCATATGGACTTGGATGGACATTAGGGTGATTAAATGATGACAGAGTTTTTATTTCCTGTGTGAACTTAGTGTTCAAAATTCCTGCCTTTTCTCAAAAGGTGACTATTAAAACAGTTTTTGTTCATTGAAATAAAGCTGAAATAAAATAAAATAAAAAGTAAAATGAAATAAAAATAAGAGATGAAAAACGTAAACGTGGCAACTAACTGAAACAAATACGTTTAAGTTGAAGGATTAAAATCACGAAAATTAAACCTGAAGTAAAAATAAAGCTAAATACAAAATATATAATATAAATAGCCTCAGTTTTGCCAGAAAACATCTTGGTGATCCCCAAGACTTTTGGGAAAATATTCTGTGGACTGACGAGACAAAAGTTGAACTTTTTGGAAGGTGTGTGTCCCATTACGTCTGGTGTAAAAGTAACACTGCATTTCAGAAAAAGAACATCATACCAACAGTAAAATATGGTGGTGGTAGTGTGATGTCTGGGGCTGTTTTGCTGCTTCAGGACCTGGAAGACTTGCTGTGATAAATGGAACCATGAATTCTGCTGTTTACCAAAAAATCCTGAAGGAGAATGTCCGGCCATCTGTTCGTGACCTCAAGCTGAAGCGAACTTGGGTTCTGCAGCAGGACAATGATCCAAAACACACCAGCAAGTCCACCTCTGAATGGCTGAAGAAAAACAAAATGAAGACTTTGGAGTGGCCTAGTCAAAGTCCTGACCTGAATCCTATTGAGATGCTGTGGCATGACCTTAAAAAGGCGGTTCATGCTCGAAAACCCTCCAATGTGGCTGAATTACAACAATTCTGCATAGATGAGTGGACCAAAATTCCTCCACAGCGCTGTAACAGACTCATTGCAAGTTATCGCAAACGCTTGATTGCAGTTGTTGCTGCTAAGGGTGACCCAACCAGTTATTAGGTTTAGGGGGCAAACACTTTTTCACACAGGGCCATGTAGTTTTGGATTTTGTTTTCCCTTAATAATAAAAACCTTAATTTAAAAACTGCATGTTGTGTTCACTTTTGTTATCTTTTACTAATATTTAAATTTGTTTGATGATCTGAAACATTAAAGTGTGACAAACATGCAAAAAAATAAGAAATCAGGAAGGGGGCCAACACTTTTTCACACCACTGTATATATATATATATAAATGGTAACACTTTACAGTAAGGTTTCCCTAGTTTACATGAACTACCAATGAAAAATAATTCTAAAGCATTTATTTTTATTTATTTATTTAGTTAATGTTAATCGCAACACTTACTAAAGCATTACTAAAATCTAAAGTTGTATTTGTCATTATTAGCTAATGCACTGTGAACTAACATGAACATTTTTTATAAACTAATAACTACAATAAATACTGTAAAATACATTGCTCATTATTAGTTCATGTTAGTTAATGCATTAACTAATGTTAACAAATCAGACCTTATTGTAAAGTGTTACCAAAAAACGAATAAACTGTCAAAAGCACATAACAAAATGACTAAAACGTAAACTAAAAATTAAAATTGAAAATATAAAAATAAACTCAAAACATAAAAGTACTATAATACCATACAAATAATACTTAAATAACACTAGTTCATAAATACACATTTAAAATCAAATAAATAAGTGTGGCTACATTTCGTAAAATCATAAGATTTGTAACATTTAGTAAAATCATAAGTTCTCCCATTATCTTCATTCCCATTATTCATATCCCATTATCTTCATACTATAATACCATACAAATAATACTTAAATAACGCTAGTTCATAAATACACATGTAAAATCAAATAAATAAGTGTGGCTACATTTCGTAAAATCATAAGATTTGTAACATTTTGTAACATTTAGTAAAATCATAAGTTCTCCCATTATCTTCATTTTTTTACAGTGTTCTTGCGCATCATAACGAATATTCAATGGCCAGATTCCTTACTGAAGATATAAATTGCCTCGAGTTAAAATCCCACACTAATATATGTTAATTTAGCTTTTTGTAATCAACTAAATTGCATTTCAGTGCCAGTGGCGGTTTAACAGGAGCAGGTTTAATTTGGTTTCACTGGCTTGATTAACTTGACCTCAAAGCAGCTGGGAACTCAGCTGCTTTTTAGAGACAGATACTTGAAGTACTTATACAAGTACACATCAAAATACCTGCTAGTATGTTATAAATGTGATTATTAAGCACAATTACTGTAACTATATGCGTGCTATCATTAAAGACTGTATAAAGGTGAGGATGTGTGGTTTCAGTCCCATTATATAAATGCATTAAGAAAATGAGAAGGCCATAGACAGCGTAATTTTAGTATTATTTTATTTATATACTGTTATTGTATTTAGTAATATGTTGAATTAGCTTTTATTTTTATATTTTAAATGTAATTTTAGTCATTTTATGTGCTCTTGCAATTTTTTATTAGTTTTTGTAATATTTAGTAAATTCTTTTTTATTTCAGTTTTAGTTGAAGCAATTTTAGTACTTCACCTTATTTATTTCAATTTCCTTTTGTTACCAACTAATATTAAGCTATTTTATTTTATTTCAGCATTATTTCAATTATCAAAATCACTTCAATAGTTTTAGTCAACAGCAACAACACTGATAACAGAAGACACTGATGTTTTAGTATTATTTATATATTACAGTATTTGTTGAAATTTAGAATTTGCTTTTCAATTTTATATTTCCTATTTGTATTTTAAGTTCAGTTTAAGTTTTCATCATTTTATCATGTACTTTTGCCATTTTTATTAACTTTTTATATATTTATAGCTTGTGGTATATAGCTTATATATATATATAGTGGAATATAGTATATAGCGTGTTATTTTTGTAATTTTAGTACTTCAACTTATTTCAGTTAGCTGCTAAGAAAACATTTCTAATTTTCATTTAAGTTTTAGTTTTTCATCTAATATTTATGTTATTTCAGCTTTATTTCAATTACCAAATATATATTTTTAATAGTTTTAGTTTTTAGTAATTTAGTAATAACAAAACTGATAGACAGTAGATAAAGCCATCATGTGAAGCAATTTGAGATTTAATTTCACAGCACAAACAATAAATGAACCTGTTCACCATTTCATGGACTCTTGGAATGTGAAGTGCTGCTGTAATCGGTGCAGTGACTCACCAGGCATATGCACCATACGGCAGTTGCAGTTTTCCACCAGGTAGCGCGTCTCGCAGTCTGTTCGACAGGCGCTGATACTGTACGCTTTGAAGTAATCCGAGCTCGGCGGGGTCGACTTGCAGCTGCCCCATGGAGCAGGAAGGTACACCAGCTGGAAAATAAATAGTACTAGTGTAAAAAAACAAAACAAAACAAAGCAACAACAACAGAAAAAAACTCAATTTAAAGTGCGTATTAACATGACACCCACTCGCTGCTCTTGGCAAGAAACGAACGTCTGGAATCCTGGTGCGACTCCGAAGCCCAGCTGATCTATAAATGGAGGCTCGTCCTGACTGTGAATCTGAACTTTGATTCCCGCCTCAAACGACAAGTCGTCTGTGAGAGGAAAAAGAGAGAGTGAGAGGAAGAATATAGCATGATCTGTTTGTTCCTCGTGCAGTCTCACCTGTCTCTCCCCACACAGGTAAATATTCGTCTTGCTGAATGTCCAGCATGATCTCCAGGCCGTTTCCCATCCCTCCCTTCACGCTGACCAGCGGCGCGCCGGTGTTACCCGAGTTAAAGCTGTAACATTTCCCGTAACGTGTGAATACCTGAAAACACACAGAAGGAAACTAATGCATACCTTTTATATTAATGTTTTGTCTCTAATTTTGTTGTTTATTTCTATTGGGCCAAAGAGTGGAAATAGCGGCATTTTCAGTGCCATTTCTTACACAGAAAACCTTTTATTTGACATAATTTGAAGATAATGTGAGAGATGCTTGCCCGTGCCAAAGTCTGCTTAGTTTGGGAAGAATATTTGAGTGTTTCTTTTTCACTATTTAGGTCTAAATAAATAAATTAATAAATAATCTACCTCATCAGATGGTTCATATACTACAGTAACAAAAAAACGATAAATAAATATAAATTTTCTATAATATATTTGGTATTTTTATATTCAACATTCAAATGTTTGGGGTTGGTAAGTCTCTTCTGCTCACCAAGGCTGCATTTATTTGACTAGAAATACAGTAAATTGTCATTTTAATATTCTGAAATATTATTACAATTTAAAATAGCCATTTTCTATTTGAATATATTTTAAAATAGAATTTATTTCCGTGATGCAAAGCTGAATTTTCAGCAGCCATTGCTCCATGCAGTGTCACATGATCCTTCAGAAATGATTTATTGGTCAATAAATATTTCTTATTATTATCAATGTTGAAATAAAACAGCTTCATATTTCAGCATTTATTTGAAATAGAAATCTTTTGTAACATTACAAATGTCTTTACTGTCACTTTGAATCAATTTAATGTGTTCTTGGCAACATTTATATACTGTATATTGCGCAGCTTATTTGGTCAAGATAACTTGACAAAAATGCTAAATAATAACTTTTGTAATGTGGGGATCATGAGACAAATAAATAATGATTTCTATTCAAGATTTTCGACTGGTTCTCAACTGCTTTTGCTTCCAGACTCTGATCATATTATATTACACAATATATTACCTGGCTGAAACAGTCAAAATGTATTAAGATTTCCACAATATTTAATCTTCCAGCTTCACAGGCCAAATAATAAGCACTATCTTAACATGGCAGTTGCTTTTTATGGTTTTCATTTTTGGTTTTCCCCTGCTGTCAGAAAAGACGTGCAGCTACACTGAAACGATCTGAACGAAATAAAGAGATATTACAAGAGTTGTAACAATTCTGCACACTGTAAAACCCTATTCTTGAAATCTGACACGAGACATAACCAATGAGAGAGCAAGAGAGGAATAAAACATTTTTAAAGTTCATTGTAGACCAGCTGAGAGTTATTAAAGGGAGCCGGTTCCTATGGAAACAGAGACCAGACAGAGTCTGAAAAACACAGAAACGCTTGCACGAACACACACCGGACTCGGTCCTCTCGCTGTGTTCTCTTTGATTCGTTAATGTGTTTCAAGACATTTCCCTTTGAGTACGACTCCATCTGTGTTGAAAACATAGCAGGAGATCCTGAGAGGTTTCCTGTGAGCAGTCAGACCTGCGTCAAATTGACCTCCCCTGCTGTCCACACCAGCATCCATTAGTGAACTCAGCGCGTCCTCCTGAGCGCGTTCTCGACAGCAGGCGAGTGAGACGTCTTCTTCTTCTTGCTTTATGTTACGAGTCCGACTCTCTAACCATTAGGCCACGACTTCCCCCATGCAGTGTGTAACTGCATTCCCACAACTCCACTTCCCATTCATGCAGTGTGTAACACAGCTCTAAGTGAATGAAAACATCCTGCAAAGTTTTAAATCTGAAAGTGCACCGTGTATAAAGTTATTGTCTCTCAAAAGAAAGTCGACTGAATCATTGAAACGAGTCGTTTTTAAAATGAATCCCAAGCTGTTTCATGTTGACGTCAAAGTGAAACATTAGCATATTGCCCGCCCACTTGTTGGTCTTTTCGTGTTGGTCTGAATGAAGATGCAAATTCATTCTTTGCCACTAGGTGCCGCTTTTGGAGCGGTAAAAATAGCGGTTTCCCTGGTAATGCTGTACACAAAGCAGCACTGCGCTCACAAACGCTGCTTTATCAGGCATTAGAGGCATGATGAAATGAAAATGAGACCAATCGGAACAATCACCGCAGATTAGCGTCACGCAAAGGAGGGGCTTGGAAAAATGAATCGTTGAGCGAATACCAAAACCAAAATATGAATTTTTCATTACCCATAATAGGGGCACTTTAAATTGATCAAAAGGGACACTAAAGACTTTTATGACGTTACAAAATAGTTCTATTTCAAATAAACAATGTTCTTTTGAACTTTCTATTACATTTAAGAATCCCAAAAATAAATGTATCATTATTTCCACAATGTTTTCAGCAGTGATAATGTAAAAAAGGCCACACACAGGTTATATTCATGTGTCTTAGTTTCCCTTGCAATACACTACAGTCGACTCAGACGCAGCATCCATCCCGCGAGCCAATCAGCGCTCCGGGCAGGATGCGCAGGTCAGCGGTCCCGCCCACTGAACTGAGTTAGAACGATCGGGAAAGCGGACGGATGCTAGCAGTACTGTAGCGATTTATCTTTGCTAAAGTTGTGTGCGTGCCTATAAAGTAAGTAACAGTCTGTTCATCCATTGCTTTCTGCATTGTTTGTGAACATTTAACTGCTCCGAGTGTTTATAAGTTAATGTATGCGAGTGACAAAGACGAACTAGCGTGGAAGATGTTCGTGTGTGTTTACATACTAGTTTCCTCGCATATATTACCGTTATGTTTAGAAGACATAATCTATCTGCCATTTAATCATCATATGGTTTATTTAATATATTCTTTGTGCAAATATTGTGTTATTATATTTATTGTGACCACTGTTATTTGTTATTTGTACTTATATATTTTTCTTTTATCTTTAATTTGTAGAAAACCGAGATGTCTTCAGTGTACTGAGTTTGTGGTGACAATAAATGGGTTATTCCCGCATACCTGATCATCTGTGTTAAAGTCTCTAACCGGACGCTCCGTAGTGGGTTTGTTATCAACCAATTAACAACCAGGAAGAAGAGCTACCAGTAGCCATTCCTTTTTACAGATAATAATAATATACGTATGTTTCTTGAGCAGCAAATTGGCATATCTGAATGATTCTGAAGGATCATGTGACTTTGAAGACTGCTGAAAATTCAGTTTTTTCAGTTATGTTCAAATACAAAGCAGTTATTTTATTTCAGAATACTACTGTTTTTACTGTAACGTTTAAACAAATAAATGCAGCCTTAGTGAGCAAAAGAGACTTTCAAAAGCATTAAAGAAATCAGATTTTTATAAGTATCGGGTTTCTAAGATTTTTCTCCTAACAAAAACCCAAATCTCAAAAATGTCTCAAACTGTACCCAGATTTGCCAAAATACTAATTTAAGCAAACAATCTTAAGAGATCTTATTATGATCTCAAATATTTCTCAATTTCTTTCAAGACGAAATTTGAGCATCTACCCACAATGATTTTATAGCTGTATGCTCCTACAGTATGTCAAAAACGGTCTTATTTGTATGTATTTTTATTTTACTAAGAAAGAGAGGAACCATCTCAGACAATACAACATCTCTGAGCAAAACAAATTCTCTGGAGCGGTCTTGAAATGTGTTTTTAACTCTACATACAGACACAACATCCTAAAAATACCGCATTCATGGCACAAGACAGCGAGATGCATCATAACAGTTCAAACACATCCATTTAGTTAGCACGTTCACATAGAAAAAAACCTAAAAAACAGAAAAAAAGAAACATTCTGCAGTTTAACTCAGTATCACTCAAGAACATTAATGCACAAATGTATACCGACATCTCGCTGTGACAGCTAACCAGCTTAGATCATTCTGCTAAAAAAAAAAAAAAAAAAGATCATCCAGCCTTGCCAAACTGAAAAGCAGCACTGTTTTCCTGGTTTTCAGAAGGTTTGGGGCACTTGTCAGCTAGGCCAGTTTGTGAAACCAGCACAAACCACCTTAGGCAGTTTTGTTCATCAGGACGGGATCAGATTTGTTGTCTAAAGGCACAAACCCTGTAGCATTTTTTTCCCCTTTCAATCTGTCTGACTGCTTGAATCATGGCTATGCGGGTCCTCATGAGGCCAGATCTGCCCGACATAACCGCCTGATTTAAATCCCCGGTGCATGAGAGACCTGTGCGCCGCAGGAGCTGAGGAGAAATAATTACACCAGTAAAACAGCAGAGAGAAAGATAGATGGAGGACACTGGCATGGAGAGAAACAGACTGATCTGGATGATCATGTCCACTGGCTGATAAACTGAAAACAAGACTAAAGAATAAAAACTTTGGGGGATATTTATCCACAAAACTTCTGGATGATTGACTGTTAAAAAGTTGTTACCATTACATTGCTATGCAGTTGATAGTGTGCAGAGATGTTGCTAGGTGTTTTTTTACTGGCTCAAGTCAAATTAAATGTAGCTGAGTTTGTTTCTTCATGGGAACAGATTTGGAGAAATGTAGCATTACGTCACTTGCTCACCAATGGATCCTCTGCGGTGAATGGGTGCCGTCAGAATGAGAGTCCAAACAGCTGATAAAAACATCACAATAATCCACAAGTAATCCACATCACTCCAGTCCATCAGTTAACATCTTGTGAAGTGAAAAGCTACTGTAAGAAACAAATCCATCATTTAGGTATTTTTAATTTCAAACTGTTGCTTCTGGCTAAAGTCTTTTCACTTTCTCCACTGTAAAGTCGTCTTATCTGAATCAGGAGAGAAATGTGCACAGATCAAACACAGTTTACAAGCAAAAACAGTCCAAAACAGTTCTAAACAAATATGTTGGTGGATTTTGATGCGAGAGGACAACAGGGGGTGGAATTTTCCTTATGGATAAAGGACTCATATTTTGGTCAGAAGCAATGGTTTACATTTAATGTCCTAATGATGGATTTGTTTCTTACAAACATGCAGCTTTTCGCTTCACAAGTTGTTAATTGATGGACTGGAGTGGTGTGGATTACTTGTGGATTATTGTGACGTTTTTATCAGCTGTTTGGACTCTCATTCTGACGGCACCCATTCACCGCAGAGGATCCATTGGT